GAGGGATGGGGCACCTGCGTGGCCAAACAAAGTAGTTCTGGTTGTTTATTAGTGAGTTGAGTTTCTTTCAAACTGACAAAGTGCAGCTAAAGTTAACAAATTTTCATTTAAAACTAAGCTAATTGAAAACTAAGGAACAGAGACTGCAAGAGTCCAGGGTTCGCTGTGGCTCCTTTAGGTTTGTTCACATCACACTAACTACTTAGTTTGTTCACATCATACTAACAACTTAATGTTTGGATATAAACTCTGAAGGGATTGCTGAATGGTGTGGCCCATTCATAAGCATGTTTATTCAGAAAGAAATACCACTATGTGCAATAAAACCTACATTCATGTAAGGCAACATTGCATCTATGTCTTCTTTTAAAAAAGCTAAATTCATGGTTGTTTTCTTGAAAGAATGCTGAAACTAAACAAGTTATGCATGACTGATTATCCACTGGAGACTGCTACTAGTGTCTAAAATATTGCACATTTGAGAGTCAGTGCAAAAAATTACGTTATGTTAAAGGCATCTCATTTGATCCTATTTTAAAATAATGTCTTGTGTTAGTTCAGCTTAATTTTTGGCATCACAATTGTTAATTAGCAAATTGAGCACCATCTGTAAGGGGGGAAAACTAAATTTTACTCAATAAAGATAACAACACCTTAATATTTCTTTATAGAATCAGAAAATTTACAGGGAGCAATTCAAGTTGCATATGGTTGCCCAATTATCAGAAATTAAGCCTAAATGATTCAAATCTAGACATCTTTAATTAGTTAAATAATAGAGGCATTTATCAAACTGTATGAACAGTTAGGTGTTTAGATCTCCCTATTTACATATAAGCTGGTGAGCAGGGTCTTAATATTGCAAAATTCTTTAAAAACAAAGTAGTCCCCAGTTGCTCACTAACAGTGGTGCCTTTCTATTCTGAGATTGTGCATTACGAAAGCAACAAAAATGTCTTGGTTTCACTAGAACTCCATGTTCTGCCTTGAGTCATATAATTTTTGGCTTGAGCAGCACCTGGAACACCTCTTTTCTTGACCCTGAGAAATTTCCTCTAGAAATTGCTCCCCACAACCCCAAGATTTATACACATGTTGTGCCTTATTGCTACTTCCTTAATTGATCTTTCTTTTTGCTATATACCAAATTGTGAGGAAACTCCATCATCCTACAACCATGGAATTATGGTGCGAAACCTCAGACTCTCACATGTAATGGAAGGCTGACACTCTGCAGTAGACATACTCTTTATGTTTCCTTAACTTCTTTCTGTCAAACTCCCTTTTCCATCAAGCAAAATGCATCAAGTTTACACTTTCCAAAGCCATTTCCACAGGCTAAGCGAGATGTTAAGTATCATCTGTACATACATATCTGGCAAGCTCCAAGACCCTATTTGACTAGAAATTTTCTCCCAACTGCCAAGTCCCAATTGGTCTCACAGTAGTTATATAAAGGGGAATCTTTTTTCCCCCAATGCAAACCTTGAGAGGATCTGGGATTTGGGCCAATACAGTGGCTCAAAGAATGTTATATGAAATGTTATATAGATCTAGCTAAAGTAAGGACAGTATTATTTATAACTTTTTTAAATCTTATTTATCTCACCCTCTTATATTGAATTAAACAAATGCACCTTTTCTTTTATGTGGATTCTGGAATTGACAGTGTTTTAGCTGGCCCTCAAATCAATCATGCTTTTGGACTCATGCTACTTACATTTGGGGGGTGGGGGGAAGAAAGGTAATGGAAATAATACAATAATATCCAAATGGTCAGTGCTCAGCATATATGTTTTAACTCCCCATAGGCACATTAAATTTTTGCTGTTCTTAAGTGCCTCCTTCTCGAGGTGGGGACCTCTGTTAATGAGGAAATGCTCCAGTATGAACCAATGAGATGAATTGGCTCTTTGACAACTATATTTCATATCGTATGGTGTCCTCATAATTTGGTACTCAATCAAAAATATTAATTAGTCCATCACTGATACCTCCTACATGTCCCCTGCACCAACGTCTTGAAATCACAGCTTGCACCAAATGTCCCCAAGTTAGTCAGCCCAGTCAAAGCCAAATTATCACTATTCATAAACTCGTTGTTGTTCAGTTCTGCTTTGTTTCCACTGCAACTTAAGCTCTGGATTGGTTCTAGGCCACATAACTAACAGGCTTAACTTCCAGGTCATATGAGAACATTTCAATATCAGGCATTATATATAATTATTAATTGCTCAGTGTGGTGGAGCAACCTAATATTTATAAAACTGTTGCAGATAAGTGACAGCAGTAAGTACTGTGACACATATATGGAAAGAAAAAAATATTGCTGTTGTTGTTCATCATTATTATTTCAATACTGCCCAATAGCTGAAACTCCAAGCAGCTAACACAAATATGCTTATTTTATTTGTACTCTTTAATTTTTAAAAATATGTGTAATGGCTAAAGGAGAACCAAATCCAGTCTGAAAAGTCAGAAAAGAAATAATTTAATAAATATACTCAGAAATACGATTCGTTATTTCCAAGATTATACACAATTCAATGGACATACTGCAATTTGGGAAAGAAAGTATTACCAACCTTAAACAAATGGATCATATTGAAACTGCGTATTGACCAAACTAACATCACAAAGTTGAAACCTGTTCCATCCCTGCCTAACACTTGCTAGACCCAGTCCTTGAAGTCCTAGACCAGTGATGGCGAACCTTTTAGAGACCGAGTGCCCAAACTGCAACTCGGAACCCACTTATTTATCGTAAAGTCCCAACTCTGCAATAAAACCTGGATTTGCTGACCACCAGGACAAGGGGGCAACGTTCCACTGGTCACCAGCTTTTGGCCAGCCCTGAAAAAGGCACCTGAGTGTATTTCCTACCTGAGTGTATTTCCTACCTTTCCTACCTTCTGCTAAAATCACAGTCCAAGCAAATCCCATGTGAAAGCTCGGCTGCCCGCAGCTAATGATCGGCGTCATTGCCTGGCACCCTTAATCTTTCCAAATATGCACATGGCTGCTGGGGTGATCACGTGCCAACAGAGAGGGCTCTGCGTAGGTTTGCCATCTCTGTCCTAGACTATAGAAGCTGCTACTTAGTGTCATTTTACACAGCTGTATCCTTGACTATACACTTTCAGACATGCAACTTCAATACTTAGAGGAGTCACTGCATGTTGCATATGGAGCTTCCCAGAGCTTGGCACTTTAAGGGTTGTGGTGGTTTGAAGAATAATGCGCAGTTGCTTAACCATGTATTCAGATATTCAGATAATTAAAAAAGTGATATATTCAAATAATTAAAATAACATTATAGTTACATATCATTCATAGGGAAATATGGCTCCATTTATTAAGGCATGTGCAGCAATATTTAATGTAATTGACTGGGAAGCAGGGGGGAAATGCATATGGAGAGGGTCAGGGAAGAATTCTGGAATGGGATCTAGCTGAGCTTGTGAGCAAAAGAGCAAGGTAGGCAGCAAGTGCTTCCTTCCCTGCAGACATGCAAACACACAATCTCAGAAGTGTCAAAAAAGAAGCAAGGGAAAGCTTCCTGGGTCCCCAGAAAAGTGGGAGTAATAAAGAAAGGTATGTGAACAGCTAATGACATAGAGAGATGTTATGAAAAGAGGGCACAGTGGATTTTCTCTCTTGCAATCCTACCACCTTTGGGATAGCCAATCCTTTGCTAGGCAATCCTACCTATGTTTCTTTAATTGAGCAAATACTTATATTTCACCACAGTTCAGGAGTTCCACAAGGTGACCATTTCCTGCTGCCATCAATTCTATTAGGATTCTTTAGTCTTCTAGGTACTTTGTATAAGAGAGTTTAGAATGAAATGGTGACCAATAATAACGAAGATAGAAATTACTTAAAAAGTTTATTTCTTAATGGGAAATTTTGTACATAAAGGGTTTTATGGTAGGTTTTATTTTATGCACACTTTCTGATGTCATTGGAGCCATTGAATATACTAAATACTTAATTTTTAAAGATGTTTAAATAAATGTTCAAACAGGAGTCCTTTTATTCAGTTTATGGCTTTGCTTCATGACCATTAGTTGTATGCATGTGCAGACAGAAGAAAAGTTTTTAACCAATATATAATCTATTTTAATGCAAAATAAACTTAATTCATTTCTGTGTACTTATATTGGAATAACTGTAAAATATATATTTGGAGTTCATAAAGTGTGGACTTCTGTTACCTTCACAATAAACTTTGAAAAGTATTTATACCAATAAACAATTTCAAAAAGTATATACCTGTAACATTTCTATTTCTGTTTCATTCCACTATGGAATGATGGGATCTGACAAATCATCAATTAGATTGATTTTTTTAAAGGTTGAGCTATAATGTTTTATTATCGCTAAAGTGCATGATCAGCCTTCACTTATCCCCACTAAATTTTCTGATCAGTTCCATAAGAATAGCCACATTTTCTAAAGTGCATAGAACCACCACTTTTTAAAGTTAGCAATATCAATATACATAGCAGAAGAAAATTTCTTACTAGAAGAAATATTAAGTCTTTTAAGGAGCAAGTCCTATGAATTGCACTCCATGTAGAGAGAGGGCTCCTCCATAGATAGCTACCATATGGCCTTTGAGCAAGAGACAGGCAGAATGGAAAAATGTAAAGTCATTTTTGTTTCTGTTCTTTTGTGTATAATGCAAATCGCAGGTAGACAGGTCTCCTGATCCATTTAGCCTTTCAGTGGCTCAGGAGGCAGTTGGAGAGACCTTAGTGTATTCTCTGTCATGGCCTCTCTTCTCATTCCCATCTTCCAGTATGCTTCTTTTCAAACTCTTTGACAGTTGTGAGAAGTTTCCGTGGTACTCTAGAGGCAATTGAGGGGCAGTAAGATCACTCTGCCTTATATTTTTGACATAAAACTCTGTCATCAATACATGCAAGCTCTTGCACATATGCATTTATCACAGTGGGTTAACTGGATAACCTTTGCCTATTTTGTTTATTTTCTAGACACACTTTTTAATGGTCTTGGACTTGGTGCAGTCATTGGACTGGGTGTTGCTGCTCTTTTATTAATCCTTGTTGTGACTGATGTCAGCTGTTTCTTTGTGCGGCAATGTGGACTGCTAATGTGCATCACCAGAAGGATCTGTGGAAAGAAGAGCGGCTCCAGTGGAAAGAGTAAAGAGCTAGAAGAGGGGAAAGCTGCATATCTGTGAGTATCAGAATTGCAAGCATATGTAAATTCATATCCCTAGTAAACCACCATTAAATGGTATGAACTTGTGTTTTCAATACTATGAAAAGATTGATAGTAAAAGGAGGAAAATCTTTAGAGTCTTTAGCTGCAACATTGGTATAATTCTAAAGTGTGATGAGTGTTTTGTGAAAACTTTCAAAGGGTGGCATCAACAAACATTGCTTCCAGAAAGGTCTTTTTTCGGGGGGGGGGGGTAATTCTTGCAGTTTAATTCTGAGCATGCTTACTGGGTTCCTATGGAACCTTGTGAAACCTAATGGGACTATTCCCAAGTAATCATCTTAGAAGTAGAGCCAGAAAGCCTGCCCTTCTGCTTTGTTTACTAGTTCACAAATGACACAATCCTACACAGATTTACTCAAAAGTGAGCTCAGTGGCTTTTTCTTCAGGTAAGTAGGGATGGAATTCCTACTTGTAAATAATATATAGAGGTCCCACTTCCATATGCATTACATATAGTTATCTAAGTGTGCATTACAAATCTCTCTCTTTCTCTCTCTCTCTCTTTCCCCTCCCTTCCTTCCTTCCCTTCTTCTGACCTGGTACCACCCAGTACAGATGGTACTGAATGAGATGTTCCACTAATCTAACTTGGTATAAGCAGGTTTCTAAGGCAGATAAAAGATAGGAACCATATTAACCTTATGCCTCAGCCCAAATTTTCCCCTGATTAATACAACTGCAAGGAAAAGGAGGAAGCCCATCCAACCTGACAAATTATTTAAATGGAATTTCAAGTCTGTGCAAGCATTTAGAAAACCTTACCATCTGTTCATATAAAAATATGAGGTGTAAAGGCATAAATATGAGCAGATAGGTACTCGCCATGGAGCTCAATTTCACAAGATGAACTGATGACAACCAATCTGGAAGGCTGTAAAAAGTGACTGGAGGAATCCATGGAGAAGAAAACTATCAATGGCTACTAGTCCTGATGGCTATATATGCTACCTCCAGTTTTAGAAGCAATTGCTTGGGAACTAGGCTAGGAGTGTTCTTTTGCACACATGTCCTGCTTACGTATTTCCCTTGGGTAACTAGTTGGCCACTGTGTGTATAGAATGCTAGACCAGATGGAACCTTAGTCTGATCCACTGTGGTTGTTCTTCTGATCTTAAGTTGAACCTATAACATGGATAGTAGCATTTGAAGAGATAAGACATGAAGCCATGCTATTGAGTAATGGAATGGAATATCCATTTATTTACCTCAGTGTCAACATAGATTGTTACTTTTATATTACTAAGACTTCTAATAGCACAAGCTAATAAGTAGCGCAGTTAAGTAATTTAAAAAACATGGACTGAATTGTCCTGAACAGTTCCCTGCTTCAGATGTCCACAAATGATTTATTTCAGTAACGAAGTGCACATTTCCCTCACCCACCCCCAACCATACCCTGTCCCATTTCATGTTTTATAACTGCTTTCCATTCCTGAAAAAAGAAATACTCTGACCATGAGCAGTTTCACAAGATAAATTCACGTAAATCACAGAATAATCATGACTACAGAAATAAAAGTGAGTTTGCTTCTGCTGCTCTGGTGCTAATCAGATTTATTAGCAAATAAGTGTTATTTTCTTATAGAATAATGCTATGTACATATCTAGTCAACCATCCTTCACCATTAAATTTTCTAGAGAGAGAGACTGAAGAGAGAGTGTATGTTAAGGTGAACAATGCCAGTGTCTGTGGCTCCTTACAGGCTTCTGCCAGCCCAGGTACTAAAGCTGGGCCTGCTTGTTGTTCGGCATTTAGGTGTCCACTGGACTTTGGGGCTTGTGGACCTCTGCCCAAGGTCCAGACCTAGCTGCACCACTAATCATCCATGCACCTACTCAGAATTAAGTCTGATTGAGCTCAATGATGGGTACTTCCAGGAAACAGAGATAACCTAGGCTTATTATTTAGTCTTAATGTGTATTTTTAAGCATCACTTTTATGTTCAAAATGGAATGAATAATTCTGATATGAGTGTTTGCAACATGTTTTGAATGACGTTAAAGTGATAGCAGTAATAATTGTGATATATTTAATCACTTTATGGTTGGTTTTTATTTCTTTGTAATAATTTGAAAACAAAATGTTGGCAATTAAAATGTATTCTGACTTAGCAAATAGTTTTGAGACCTTAAAAACTATCAGAGATATTCTGGTACAAGGTTCCAGAAACTACAGAAAATGTCTGTGCTTTTATCAGTTTGTAAATAAGGCAAATAAACTTTTTAAATGTTATTTATTTATTCATTTATTTTCTAGGAAAGATGGGTCCAAAGAGCCAATAGTTGAAATGAGAACAGAGGATGAAAGAATTACCAATCATGAAGATGGAAGCCCAGTAAATGAGCCCAATGAAACAACACCCTTAACAGAACCAGAGTATGTAACCTGACATTTAGCAAAGTCACAACTATTATTCACAATACATAAATGTCAACTGAAATTGGAAAATTACAACAGTGAAGGTGTACCATGCTAGTTGATGTGATGCAACAATATAATCAATATTAGGAGTATCTTAATTATGAAACTACTCTGCATATTCAAAAGTGGATATTGGCTTACTATTTCCACTGTATGCATGTCATGTGTTGTATGAATGAAAAGTATAGTACAAATTGGATAGATAGTATCAAATAAAATACATAATAAATAAAATAAATATCTACAGGATTTTTTAACATCTTCCAATAGCATTTACATGCTTAACATAATGTATTTTCTCCTTTCAGCACGAAAAATGTTTCTTCTAGCTTTTACTTGTTCTTAAAGATATTTATACAACTCAAAGTTCTATAACATTTCAAGGAAACATGACATTTCCTTGAAATCAGTGAAGCACAATTTAATCAAGACAAACTTATTCCATTGATTTCAGTGTGATATGAGCACAAATAATTTATCTGAATAAGGCAGTCAATAATAGAGAAACATATGGCAGTTCTGTTGCTCTTTTAATATTCCATATCAGAGCAAGATATATCAAGTCTTTATAATGTACTTAATGGTCGAGTACATTGTCATACACACAGTGTAGTGCCTTCATCTTCCATATGATTGAAGGGAGAATATGAGTCTTAAACTGGTAATGGAAACAAGCATATGAAACTAGCTCTTGAATCCACAAAATTCAGTTTAGGAAAGCCTTCATCCAGGGAGTCAACAGCAGCAGCTAATGAAGTTATTTGAATCTGTAAAATTTATTGAATTTCAAAATATAACAATAATAAATTACATAAATTTCTAATTCAAGCTTAGTGCTTGAAAAGTTAAAATGAATCAACTTAAAATTATTGTTGGCAAGTATTTATGAAAGCACCTGGTTTTCAAGGTGCTCTTGAAAATGCTATATTTACAAATAAGTGTTGACACAAAAACTGAAAAATTGAGGGTCCGAATGACACTGAAAAATAATAAGAACTACTAGTTTTCAGACATTACACAAACAGCTTGATGTTGTAAACTTTTTACCTCACTACAAAGAAGCTCTTTCTGTAGATTTTAAATTTCAGTGTAGTACAAAATAAATTATCCCAAATTTTGCCATAATGTAGGACTTTTTTGGAAATGTAATTGTTCAGTTCTTATCCCCTAATTTAGCTAAGAAGACTGAGCTATGCAAACAGACTTTTGTGTGGAATGAACTAGTGGCATAAATCTAACATGCATCTTAAGGAGCGTGGAGTGCAGATCTGAATGTGGATATTGTGCTGTTCATTGGTTTGACTGTGTGAATTATTTATAATGTATGAATACTAGGAGTGGTGACCTGATCCTCATGAGAGTGAGTGAGGAGTATTTTAACCCCTTGTGCTCCTGGCTGCTGTTCCATTCTGAATCAGGAACTCATGGGACTCCTGAATTCAAATTCTTACATTTGCATGGATGACGGCTATATAAGTATGTTAGTAAAATGCAAGGCAAAGGTTAAATCATTACAATGTATGTGCAATCATATCAAAATTACTTTTTACAGTGCCTTATCCAAGTAACCCTGCAGATCATTGATGTGTCAGGGGTGACATAAGGGAAAAGAGACGAGGGTTTTCAAAAAGTTTCTGCACTTTTGCATTTTATATTTTATAAATATATTTTATATATTTTTGCTGGTGGCATTAAAAGTTAGTATTATGCTGGCAAAAATGCATCACAAAGGAAGGTGACTATGTAGAAAAGTAATGTATTTTGGTTTTGAAATTCTTAATACTTGTAAATAGAGTTTTTAAAAGTATAAATAGAGTTTTTAAAAGTGCAGAAACTTTTTGAAGACTGCTTGTACAAGAAAAAGCTATACTAACTGCACATGTCCTTGCAAAATTTGGAAGTCAAACATCAAATATTGGATTCATCAACTGAAATTTAGAAACAGGGCCAGATGATTTGGAGTGCCAAAATCTCGGGAATGGGGGGACTGGAATATGGAGCACTTGAAGGAAAAGCAGATCCTTTTTTTAAATTACTATTGTTTCAAGAACTACAAATATCTTGCAAGAAATAATTATCATCCAAAGAGTCAGGAATTTGTTCTTGTTGCATTATTAGTATTACTACTACTACAATTATAGTATTCAAATTTAATATTTTTATTTTTCACTTTCTTTCATAGGAAACTGCCATTAAAGGAAGAAAATGGAAAAGAAGTTTTAAATTCAGATACTATAGAAATCAAAGTATCTAATGACATCATCCAGTCAAAAGAAGATGATAGCAAAGCATAATGCAACAACTACAGCTGTCCAGAGAGGAATAAAGGCATTTGGATTTGAATAAATCTGTGACCAAAACTTTACATCTGACTTTTGATGGGCAACTTAAGATGGAATCATTCTTAGAAGTAGTTCAAACTGCTTCTGTTGACTGTTTGTTTTCATTTTATTTCAGTAGTTTTAGTCGTAGTCCTGGCTGACATCAGTCCCGTGGTCTCAGTTTGGCAAATCAGCCAATATAAATACTATAATTTATTTTATTGCTGAAGAAATCTATTTATAAAACATCAAGATACCCCCTTAGCCACAGACTGTACATGAGACAGCTGTATCACTTATACTGGAAATTAAACCCATGAGAGAAAGTGCCATATACATTTATATTTGTTTGTATTTGCAATTTTAAAAGATTTTGGTTGCCTTTAAAGAAAAATATATAAATATATAAAAATATAAATATATATATAATATCAGTCTCAGTTAGAAATTAGATATATGTGGCTGGAAAAGGCTAACTAGTGACCTCGGCTGCAGTTGACCTTTGACACAAGAACAGACTGAACTTCTTCATGACAATAGCCCTGCACTTCACACTGGCTCTTAAAATATGATGAAGGTTCATAGGTTTGATGTACAGATTTTAACAGAACTATTTTGATGACGATATTGATCACATCCTAGCTATCAAAATCCACAGAAATGTCAGTGCTTCAGAAAATTTGTATTTATGTTTGGAAGATTGTGTGTACGCTAAACCTGTCAAAACTTATTTTGTGTAAAAATAAGAATCTTGACTTATGACCATAGCTTCAAAGAAAATCTTGCAACAATAAATACAAACTCAATTGAGTTGCCTCAATGTATTTATAAGACATAATATTGTGAATACATTCCTTGGCATCATATCCAGTATTTTTTTCCATTCCCCTAATCCCATTCATAGGAACAGTAGGCTTCCCTCTGCTGTATCATCAAACATTAAAAAAAAAAAAAAAATAGGTATTTGCCAGGCAGTGCAGGGGATTAGTTAAATGGGAAGCATTTCCCCAATCTCTACAGTTTTATCTGATTTTAGGATAAGAATATCAGTAATGACACCCAACTAATACTGGAAACAGTTATCAGGAAAAGATGGATTTCAGTTAATTTAGGTAAATTATGTAAACAAATTTATCATGTGAGTAACGTATCACTCACAAGTGCCAAACTTATTAACTCTTCCAAACAGCACCAGTGTTAGTTTGACAAGAAGTTAGGATAAGTTAAGATTATTTAGCATACAGAAATGCAAATCAAGACTGAGGTTTGACTATGATAGAGGTATATATTTTTGGAAATTGGAATGTACTGGCTTGCTGGAAGTTAGTCTCTTAAAACTCTTATAACACAATCATATGCACGTATAAAGAGAAAAACATCCTGCAATTTCTGAGCATTTCCCAGCCTGTAGTGGTGTCTAATCATGCACAGCATTTCACCCTTAAGCTTGGAAATTCTTAATCAGACCAAAATAGCTCTTTAAAACATTTGTCTCAGCCTTTGTCTAAATGAGCCAAGCAGAGTAATTAGCAAAGAATCACAAGGTTTATCCACTACCTTATGCATTGTTTCTGGAAGTGAATATTTTTTGGAAATTTTCTTGATGCATTATAATCAGCTGTAACAAAAACACATGAGTAAACCAACAAAATCCCCACTCTTACCATCTCCAAGAAACTTTTAATTTACCCTTGTCATTTTTCATTCATGGTTGTTTATCAGTTCTTTACATGATGGCATGAACTTCCAATTTCAGTTTTAAGAGAACTATCATGTTTTGTTTTGTCTTTTGAGTAAGGAAGATGCATGGGGGTGGGTTATGAAAGCTAAACAAAACTCAAGTCCATGTTTATGTCATTCTGATGTATCACAGTGATATACCAACTAGAGGTTAAGTAGCAGGGAAAGAGAAGCCTTTTCTGTACAGCTTGGATCTCGGTTCTGCAATACAACTGAAAGGAGATATAGCACATTAACAACTTCATATAGAAAAACTCCATCTATCTGCCCTAGTTCTGTTCCACTATGAGAAATTTTGAACCATTGCTTGTGGAACAAAACATATTCAATCACATATTTAAATAATGGAAGGTAGGAGAGCCAAGATAGCAGGTAATTTTTTCATTCCTGCTTCTGTTGGTGTCTTTTCTAGCTTCTGGATGAATGGTTCCTATGAGTTTCAAATGCATATAATCCCAGCTAAATGTGTAACGAAAAATTGAACTTCCCTAATCATAAAGATGATGAGGGACTTTGCTGGAGTATAGACTCCTGTGATGACATGGCAAGGAAAAACAATAATAGCAACAATTGTGGATCATGTTATTACAGTGCAGTCCTATGTGTGCCTACTAAAAAAGAAAAGAAAAGGAAGAAAAAAGAAATTTAATTGAAATTAATGAGCCTTACTCCCTCATAAGCATGTATTGGACTGCAGCCCTTTAATCAGCTACATTTCATGGACTTTTAAAGGTGTAATAGCTTGCAACAGAAAAGCAAATCCAAAACATAATTTCTCCGAACACATTTGTTTGGCAAAATGGAGTTTGCAAATGAAGGACAGCATATAATAATGTAAAAGATTAGTGTGGGATCTTAACATAGCTTTATTTTTGTTTTATTGTTAGATGGAAATCATGAAGTCCCATGCTCCTTAGCTGACTAACTGTTCATAGGAAATGCCAGAATAATCCTGAGACTGTAACTATCAATAAAAGTAATTTCAAAGTTTATTAATTTGATGGCACTGGATCCCTTATATATTTGACATTTTGGACACAGTGTATGGAAGAGTGGGACTGGGTGGGTGAAGACAGAATGCACTAGCAGCTACTGATGCTGCAGTTGCATAAAGACCAAGGAAGAAGAAAGAGTTAGCAGAATGTAACTCAGCTGGAAGAGGTATAATTGTATAGGACATTTTAGCTCTGTGCATTGACAGTTTTTTTGTAGCAGCCAGGCTGACGGTTTTCTTGAATTAAATATTTGCCCCCTTCTCCCCAAAGTTCTCATTCAGCAGTGCTGAGCTGAAGCAAATCATTTCCTTTGCATGCACTGTTGCCAATACAGAAATTGCTAATATGGAGGGAACATATCATAAAAGATACAGTCTAGATGTTTAGATGTCTAGATTGGGATATTCCACCATGACAGTTTCATGTTCTATACTGTACATTCTACAATTTAATATATGATGGAAATTAATTTAAATAGGGGCAGCAATGATTGACACATGTGTTAGCTGTGGCAAAAGTAATATAACCTATAGCCTGGTAATGGGGTCTAAAGATGTGATGACCAGATATTCCTTACCTGAAAATAATTTTCTTTTTTGCTAAGTATCTCTTAAAAGATAGAGAATCACTGTTTTCACAGATCATTATAATGCATTCGTTTTCTATAGGTTTGAAATTGCAGGATGCAAACAAAATATTGTAGTGTGGAGTAGGCTTGTTTGGTGTTCCATCCATGACCCGTACCATTTTAATTGATTCTTTTCGGGTTTTGTTTTCATTTCCTGCTAATACTCAATATCTCATTGTGTTACTTTTGTCCCTTACACCATCTTAGAGTCATTTTCTTCTTTGGAAAACCTTGGAATTCTGATCATGGTGATACTACAGTCTTCTGCTTCTATAGTGCCATTTTGCTACATAAGGATCCATCCACAGCTAATGAATTTTCTATTAGTATATAGAATGCCCTAAAATAGGACATATCTGCCAGAAATATTTATAGCACTAAATAATCTTAGTGCTAAACCAACAGCAACAACAACAAAACCTCATCATGTAGAGTATGTGAGGGTCCATTATGAACTTATGGTAGGATCTTGTTTATATAATTCCACAGCTCTAGTTCACAATAAAATAAAATGCTTAGATTTTTTTCAACAGCTAATCATACAATAAAATTTACTGAATATTTCCAGGTTTTGAATTGATTGTGTAATAGCAAAAGGTTGTTTTTCTTATGATTGTGAAATAAGTTAAGTGCCGAACAGTGAGTCATTTTTTTCCTTAGATAATTAAAATGTATTTGTGCCTTTGGTAGCATGCTACTCTGCTTTAGTAAAGCAAAGCAAAAACTTCTCCTATACTACCACTGCACCTCCACTAGTTCTTCTGGGCTAATGAAATGGATCATCTGTGCAACAATAAACAACAGTTGCTAAAGTATGCATGGAACACAGAGGACATTTCTGAAAAAGGACAGACCAGTGGCACTCCCTTCTGTGAAGTCTGCTGCCCTGCCCTATTGTGGAAATTACTGCCACTCATTTCTGGTTTTGGAGTTGGGTTGGCTTGTTTCCATTTCCATTTTATTTTTTTTTAATGTTCATCTCAGTTTGAATCTGAAACTGAATCTCAATCTGAATCTCAATCTCAATCATCTCCACCCTTTTTAGAAAGGCTAGTTTATGTAGCATGGGGTCTGTTTCACTAGCACTAGAGAAGTATAGGATGCTGTCATCTATTTCAGAGAATACCACACCTCAGATCCCCCCCTTGGAAATATAAATGATACGTTATTCATTAACCATTAAAAACCCAAACCTACCTAAGATTTGGTAAAGCAGCCCTTTTGTTTGGATCTGTTGCTAAATGTGCTTATATATGCATAGAATTTTGTGTTGCAGTTGCAGGAGAGCTTTTTAATGAATGGTAACTCTTTTGAAGAAAGTTGGTACAGAAGCCCAGTAGCCATAGGCTTTTCAAGGATTTTCTTATTCGACTAAATTCTCCTGCTAAATTGTATTAGAGCTATCTTTTGAGTACCCAGCTTTCAAATTATTAATAATCACCCTAACTCATCATATTTACTTATGGGTGTTTAGTTGTTTCTTATATTAGTGAGTTGCAGCACATTTCCCCTCAGTTTTCAATTAAAGGTAAAACGTAAGATAAAAACCTTAAGGGTGTTAGTAGCATTGAATTGTCTGCTTTACTCATCACAAGAATTTACCCAGTGCTCTTACTACAGCATGCAGTTCAATACATTCTATGCATGGAGTAGTCACAGGTCTGATCCACGCATCAGTGAAAACCAC